TTTTTTTGCATGATATTTTTCATAAAGATTTCAGTTAAGTCCTTCAGTAATCTAAACCTTCATATTACATGTTCCTCTTTTAGGTGATTTTCGTCAGATATTCTGTAAAATATGTTTAAAAGAAGAAGTTGGTTCAGGGAAACCTTGTCTGATAAGCACACTGATGCTGTGGGATGCAAAACTTTATAAAGGTAAATTGAATCCTGGGGAAACAACTGTTGGACAGAGCTATTGCCAACTGAGAATTTTCTAGAAGCATCTTGTGGGCCCCTGTAAGAAAAAAAATAGCTGAACCTTCTGTTGTGGTCATAGAAAATACAAAACCCTTAACTTCTTGTTTTATTGATTGTGTCAAATGTATTTCCTTGTGAGAGGTACATTGTTTCCTTTAATTGAATCCTTTTAGGCATTGTCCTGGGTTTAGTGACAAGACAAGGCAGAACATGTGGCAGAAATAAATAACAATAGTATTTATTACTCTGTATAGTCAAAAAATAAATTTCACTTACTAATTAATAATGAAGTGCCTTTTCATTTAATGAATATTTAATGAATATGTGATATACTCGGACACTTCTTTTTATTTACCTAATTTATTTAGCATCTATCTGGGAAGCCTAAGAGAGTAATCTTGTATTTTGTAGATTCCTGGTATTTTTCTTTTGCGTTTTTCTTTTGCATTTTTGCTATACTTCAGGTTTCCATTTCTTTATTTGGTCTCAACAGTCCTGGTTAGTTGTAAAAATTTCCCATCACTTCACACTTTTCTTTACTTTATATTATGTAATGGATCCTGTACTATTATTTCATTTGTATCTGGCAACAACTTAATTCGCCTGTGTTTAAAAGCATTTCTGCATTCTAAGTTTGGTCTACCTTCCTTAGCTTTCCAATTCATTCTTTTTCATCTCCACCTTAGCTTTCCTTAATCCTTAAACATCTTTCTCTGTTCTACTATTGTCAAAGTCTCAGACATTTCCTGTTAGGTTCTCTTGGTATGATATTCTGCCTTCTGTCTCCTAGTCTTGGTCACAGCTTGGAGTCTTGGCAACCTTCAACATTGTCTTTCTGGCTGTGGTGCTAAGCTGTCTACTAAATACTCCCTTGTGCTCTTTCTTCTTTCAGTTGTGTGCACAATGGGAAGGTTGCTGGCTCCTTGTTGTGGGGAGAGGAGCAGAAAGAAGCAAATATTAGCTCTTCTTCTGCTCCTCTTTCTTTGCCACTGTTTCATGTCAATTGGTGATAGCTTGAGGCATCAAGCCTTTTTCTGCTGCATGCCCTTTATCAGATCTCATTCTGTGAGACTTTTTCTTGACATCATCTGCAGTTATACTTGGGTGGTGTCCATCTTACCTCAGTTTTCTTGAGTAGCCTCCCTGCTGATCCTCAGGGCTGCCTCCCCAGTCCAGGGTCTCCTCTACTCACAAGATCATTATAGGCTACTCACCTAGGCGTTGCTAGTTTTTCCTTTGCTGTCTCACTGCTACTTCTTGTCTCTGCCAGATATTTCTGAGGCTTTCACTCATTCTTCCAATTTCTTTCTTGGGGGGGGGGGGGGGGGTATTTCCATCACATCTGCCTGATAGGTTGCCCCTTCTAATGTAGTTTGAACTATTCTTTAAGGATTTGCTTTCTCCACTTACATAGGCTTACATGCCAGCAGAATAAAACTTTCATGAATATGCCACTATTATGCTTAGAACCGATTTGGTTGATATTTTATTTAGTTTCTAAAAAGGGTGATATCCTTTTAGCTAAGGTTACTCACTGAGATGATTCAAGCTGTAATAGCAGTTCAGCGTTTTCTCTTAAATAGGTTTTCCATTTTTATATAAAAATTGCATTTAAACTAAAGATTTACTAATTTGTAATGAAATGTTTTTTGAGTGAAAAAATATTATGCATTTTTCCAGGAGCAAGAAAGATCTTACATGAACTAATCTTCAGTTCCTTTTTCATGGAAATGGAGTATAAAAAACATTTTGCTATGGAATTTGTTAAGGTAATTTATTTAATGTATTATTTTTCACCTTGGAGTAGTAAATTTTTCTTCATATTTAAATTTTTACCTCATCAGTAAAAAATAACTATTTACCTTCTGAGAGCTGTAATATAAAAATAAATACTTTAATCATTGTTGTATTCTGTAGCAAGTTATAATGCAGAGGTGCACAACCAGAAGTCCAAGAAGCGTGTGTGGTCTTACATGCCTTGGTGCGAATTACAAAACTACTGCTTTATTTTAATTTATCTGCGGCTTTATCTTAATTTTTAAAATGAAAGCATGAGAAAATGGCTAACTACGTGGGTTGAATTATATTAATCATATTAATTAAATGGAACTTCAAAATAAATTTAAATAAAATTTAATCAAAATTAATTTTCATCCTAGATTCTCATCCACTTTGCTTTCCAGATGTATCCCATTTTCCCAAATGTTATTAACCATAGTTTGATGCTTTTGTGAAGTAAATCTTCCTGAGAGGAAATAGATATTTTATTTGTCAAATTTCTACTCTTCAGATTGCTTACGTATCATAATCCAGTCAATAAACAATACTTCCTTTGTACTTGTGTATTCACAGCATTACAAAGCTTTGCAGAGAGAATATATCAGTGATGACCATGAAAGGCAGTTTTCTGTGACAGCACTTTCAGTTCAGATATTCACTGTACCAACATTGGTATGTATACTATTATTCCGCTAAACTTTAACAGGAGCATTTTTCCTTTCCGTGGTTATAAATGGCATGTTTTTTTCTAGGACAAGGATATACTAGGGCCAAGCATATGCTAAGACACATAGCAGGCTTTAAGCTAGCTAAAATTTTCTCTTCTTTATAGTCCCTTTATGTATTATGGACTCTGGTGCATACATTCTGTGAATTTATCATTTTCCTACAAATATTCAGGCACCAAGTTTAATCTGAGTCCTGACTCCCATGGAAGCCAACATACATACAATTGTATACATATTGGCTTTCCTTCAGTTGGTATTCATACTCAATGAATGAACATTTCCAGAAGAAAGATGTTACTCTCGTGAGGTGGGCAGGAAAGAGATATTGGAAGCATTCACATGGAGAATTCTCTAGACATTATACACAAAGAGGGCTTATGAGAGATGGCTTTATCTTGTATGGAAGATAACTTTTTATTAAGTATAGTAAAAAAGAAAAGAGTGATAGGAATGCAGCTAAGGTTCACCATTCTACAGGTAGTCCTTGAGTTACAACAGTTCATTTGGTGACTGTTCAAAGTTACAACGGCACTGAAAAATGTGACTTATGACTATTTTTCAACAGTTAACGATTTTTTCAACATCCCCATGATCATGTGATCAAAATTCAGGTGCTTGGCAACTGGTTCATACTTCGGATCACTGCTGTGTCCCAAAGTAATGCAATCACCTTTTCTGACCTTCTGACAAGCAAAGTCAATGGGGAAGCTAGATTCACTTAACAACCAGGTTACAAACCAATCAATCGCAGTAATTCACTTAACAATTATGGCAAGAAAGGTCATAAAATGGGAAAAACTCACTTAGCAAATATCTCCTTTAACAACAGAAATTTTGGACTCAATTGTGGT